ATGGCCGCCTTGTGGAGGATCTTGGCTGGGCGAGCAGGTATTCAGCCCATTGGAACGCATTGAACGGTTTTTGATGCGTTTCAATGGGTTTTTATTTTGTTTGATGATGTTTTCGTTCTACAGGGATTTTGCTTGAATGAATTAACATCGTCAAGAGAGGCAACACTGTATTAATTTTTACTCCAAAAATGCATTAGCGCTTATTTTCAGGGGATGCCTGCCTGCCTGCCTGCCTTTAGACCCAAGAAGACTGCAGCAAGTAAAAATGGCAACAATAAATATCAAGCAGGACCTGCTTTACCACATGCCCATAGACAAAAACATTAGCCAATCCCTCACCCCCCCTCCGCGATATTTGTCTGCTGCATGCCATCTTTTCCCGCAATTCTTTCTATTAATTTGTCATTTAAAAGCAAGCTTCATCTAGATATCTCAGTAACCATTCTTGAGTTGGTGGAATATAAGGTTGCTCCCTACACCCGGCTCACACATAGTTTTGGATGTCTTTTGACAGAAAAATGGTATCAACGTATTTCAAACAGATAAACAAACATGACCGAATGAGAAGAACAGCTTAAAAAGAAGAAGAACAGAAATGAGCATTTACAGATGCATGACACCTGCATTTTGGGAAAGAAGAAATAAAAACCCTTGAGACATTTTTCTCCAGGTGTGTATTAGGTAAAGGTGTGATCAAACAATCTTTCCACTTTACTGATGTGTTCTGATGAAATTAAAATAATTGCTGGTGTTTTGCATTCCTTTACATCAGAAGTGATTCAATTACTTTGCAAGCTAACTGCCTAAGCATTTTGAACTAATTTACAATAACTAGTCAGGCGGGTAATTGGATATCATGTTATCAAATTATTAGGCATTTCAGGAAAGTCAAACAGATGAAGATTATTAATATTATTAGACAAATTGGCCAGCCAAGAGCCGGCATTGGTGTGCCTCGACTGTAAAACACAACATGACAAAATGGAGTCACCTTTTTAGTTCCAGCTACCGAGAAATGAGTGGGATCAAGGCCACAAAAAAGATAACACTTTCTGGATGTCATTAAGGGCAGCCATGCGTAGCGGAGGGAAGACAAAGGCTCCCTGCATTTTAAAGCAACTTGGCTTAGAGCCAAGCAAAACCTGGCATGTGTGATCCCTCAATAAATAAATAAATAAATAAATAAAAATCCAGGGAGATAGATGTGTTACTCGGTTGCAGCAAAAATAACGAAAGAGTCTGGTAACACTTCTAACACTAGCACGTTTTATTTTGCTTTTGTGAGCACGCCACAAGATGCTTTCGGGGTGACTGCACAGGCATTTAGCCCCGTTTGGTGTGCAGAAGGGGTTCACTCCTAAAGACGGCAATAAGACCTGCACCTTTCTGGTCCCTGTCAGGGGCTTTTACATTTTTGGTGTGGGTAGCATTGATCTTTTCGGTTTGTTTCCAGTTCGTACTATCACGGGGAATGAACCAAAAGCAAATCTTCCTGTTCAATTTGTGAGTATTATGAAGTAGCTTAAAAAGAGAGCCACTTCAGGAGATGGGTAAACTTAACACTTCCTTGACTGTTCTGAAGGGGGCAAGGAAATGAAAAACAATTTTTTTTGTAAGTGTATTAAGGCTGCACATATGCACTGCATCACTTAGAAAACAAAACAAAAGCCAAAATGAAAACTTCCTCCCGGAAGCTGGAGGAGACAGGAGGAAGTCAACAAGGGGAATTTTTGCTTGCTTTTCTGTTAAAGATCTGGCTGAGAGCTGGTCATTAATTCTTTAAAGTGATGCAGCACATATGCACTGCCCAAATACACTTCACCTCCCCTCCAATTTTAATAGAAAGATGGCTTAGTGGGGAAAAGTATGAATTTACAGCCAGAATGCCTGTTGCTCAATTTGCTGCCTCAGTGGATCTGCAACTTCAAGACTTCTGAACTCCTGGTTTCTTAATGTTTTTTAAAAATCTTTAAATAGAACAGGGCCACAAATGCTGGAGGCATTCAAGAGAAAATTGGACAACCCTCTGTCAGATCTGCTTTGATTTGGAATCCTGCATTGGACAGGAGGTTGGACTTGATGGCCTTCTAGGTCCCTTCCAACTCAATTTTATTTCGTGATTCTATGAATATCTAAAAGACTGCTCCTTCCCATACAAAGCTGACCAGTGTTTGGCCTCCCTACATTAGCGCAGTGGTCCTCAACCTTGGGTCTCCAGATGTTCTTGGACTTCAACTCCCAGAAATCTTGGCCAGCAGAGGTGGTGGTGAAGGCTTCTAGGAGTTGTAGTCCAAGAACATCTGGAGGCCCAAGGTTGGGGACCACTGCATTAGTGGATCCATCAGGTTTTTCTTAGTAGTAGAATCTGACCAGACCATACAATTTGGGGAAGGCTGAGTTGCAGACAGTAGTCTGAAGTGAACCAGATGTGCAGGCTGACCAATATTTACCTCTAGGCAACAAAGTCGGAACTATAGTAGAAACCAGGAAGCAGGATACAGGTCCAGCCCACACCAAAAACCCAACAAATACAGCTGCATAGTCAAATCGAGTGGGAGGGAGCATCGTTTATACTCCTTCCTGCCAGCAAGGCTACCTTGGCCAGGCAGGGTGGGTGGAGTCAAAACAAGGTCTGAAGACATTTCACGAGGTTGCTACCTGCAGGTAAGGTGAGCAGTACACAGCAGGTTATGAAGTACTAATGATCATAATCACATGCTATTGTGTCACTTCTGATCTATGGTGACTCCTTTTCAGAGTTTTCCAGGCAGAGACTACTCAGAAGTGGGTTACCATTCCCTCCTTCTTGGGGCGCCCTGGGACTGTGCAGCTTGCCCAAGGCCACCCAAGCTGGCTGTTCTTCCAGGAGGCTGAGTGGGCAACTGGACTCATACACTGATCACTACGAAATATGTGCTGTTGCAATGGGGCTGTGAGCTGTCGTGAACACAGCCTGCGCCAGCCAGGCGTGACCCCATTAGCCACCCCTATGGAAAAGGCAATCAGGAAAGATGACGCCGAAAAGATCCACAGCAAGAAAATCATTATTGTAAGACCCGGCTTCCCTATTGCTCATCTGTACTTCGCAGCCCTGGCAGCTGGTAAGTGCTTTTCAGCAAGGCAATGCATTCTGGAACTCATTTGTGTGTCAGCCTAAATGGGACGCATTTTATTACCTTTATCTCTGGATCTCAATAAAAAAAGGCTTTGCCATTTGAGCTGAAACACGGGCCGGCACCCTTTGGATGCCATTGTCTTTTACTCTTGAAACAAAACTCCCTTCTTTCAATTCAACATCTTGAGACTACTTGAACCCACACCTCAGTAGAGGAAAAGTTCCCATTTTAATTATTATCTTCGGCATTGCTAATGTGGCTGGACATATTTATCAGCTTTATTATCATTCGCCAAGCATCCAACCCACACAAGGGTGCCCTCTGTTGGAGAAAAACAAGGGTGGGGGCGCCATTGCGGATATGAACAGATTCGCCATGTTTGCTCCTTCTTTTTGCCATTGACCAGTCCCTCTGTACTAGCTTCGTAACAATTTATTTCTTAAATGAAGTGGAGATGGGGAGGCTACATATTTGCATGTTTTCAAATTGATGTACTTAAAAAATGATGCCCTTTTTAACTAAAACATGCTTATGCACTTCGTGGTTTTTTTGTGGGTTGTTTTTTTTTGCCCATTTTCAAAAATGAGCGTAGGGTTGAATGCATCTTCTTTTTAGCTCTATGTGGTTCTTCAAGCGTGCATCCTCCCCAGGCAGCGAGAGGAGGATGATGTCCCCCTGGTCCTCTGTGGCTGCCTTCATTCTATGAAACGGTGAGCCTGACGTTAGGGCACCGGTTCCATCTCACGAGGATTTCCTTGTCAGCCTGGAACAATTTTTCCCCCTCTGTGTTCTGGCTCAGAACATACTCAGCAACTTCCCCCTCTTTAAATGGTTGCTTTTGTATCTTGAAAGCGATAACAGAGAGGGGCAGAGTGAGCATGATCTCCTCGTTGTGTGTGGAAAACACATGCATTCAGAATGGCTGAACAGAGCTTAAAAAGGATGTGTCGCAATAGTACGGCATTGATGTCTGATGTTGGCTCTGTTTCTGTTTCTTTCTGGGAGGTGTGCATCTGTTAAAAACACACACACAAACTACACATTGGAACAAATTTGTCGTCCTTGCTTTGTCCACTGTGTATGGTGGACCAAACACACTGGAACCATTCCTTCTGGGACAGGATCAGAAGGTGGGCAGACGCAGCCAGGAAAAGAGACACCTGCTAGTGGCTGCATTTTGAGGAGCTTATGGGACCTCTGTCCCACACAGGAAGCACCCCTTAGGTATGGAGGTGCCATACCTTCTGCGACACACTAAAGAGCTTCTGGCTGGACAGCCA